AAAATTTATACATACATACATACATACATACATACATACATACATACATACATACATACATTCAATTTATCCTCCGCCCATCTCCCCCCAAGGGGGAACTCTGGGTGGCTCACAAAGTATATATAAACCTAACAGTGACAAATCTACAATTAATGCTATAACTATTATGCTATGTGACCAGCAGGGGCCGCTAGGGGGTCATCTGGGCTTTTTTCCCTCCTCCGTAGATCTTCCTCGCCGCTCGCATCAATCGTCGCTCGTGCCGGCTGCATTTGGAGTTCGGCCAGCACCGGTATTTTGCTCCTCTGTGCAGCACCACCGGTTCCTCCCATCTAAACGGAAGTCCCCATTTATCTACTCGCAGATAGAATAGCTTTCAAACTGCTGGGTGGGCAGGAGCTAGGACAAGGGACAGGAGCTCACCCCATCCCGCGGAGCCGGGCCCGAACCGCTGGAGTGCCGACCATTTCTGACCAGCACACTCCAGCGTCATTAAGCCCTGTGCCACCGCGTCCCCCTTATTAAATGAGACACCACAAGGTTCAGTCCTGGGCCCGTACTCTCCTTGTACAGGAAGAGGGGAAATAATGCTTATCAAATTTGCAGATGACACAATACTGACTTGGACAACTAGTACTCTAGAAGACAGAAATAACATTCAAAAAGATCTTGATAGGTTAGAAAATGGGCGAAAAATAATAGAATGAAACTTAACAGACAAATGCATACGTATGCACTTAAAAAATAGGAAAAAATGCAGAGGTATAAGAATAGGGAATACCTGGACTGGGAACATTATGTGTGAAAAACATCTTAAAATTGCAACTGATCACAAGCTAAATAGAATCAGCAATGTCCCATAGCTGCCAAAAAAGCAAACAGAAGTATAGTTTCTAAATTATGGGAAATATTAATTCCAGGTATTTTGCGTTGGTCAGACTCCATCTCAGTTCTAGGCACATTGCTTTATGAAAGATTCAAAGAAATTGCAACAGGTACAACAAAAGGCAATGACAATAGGTAGGGAATGGAAGCTAAATCTCACACAGAGAAGTTGAGGGATCTAAGTATGTTTAGATGCATGAAAAGAAACAGAGTGATGAGAAAGCATTCTCCAAGTACCGGAAGAGGCACTGCATAGAAAAAAAGTCAACACATGGTCTCTGTCATCCCAGAACACAAGGCATGGTCTTAATATTCTAGTTGAATATTAGCAAAAACTAGTGATAAGAGCAGTTTGACAGTGGAACCAATTACTGAGGGAATTGGTTAACTGCCTTTTACTGGATGAATTTAAGCAGAGGTTGGACATCCGTCTGTTGTGGATACAGTAGTGTTTTATACTGAGCAGAAAGTTACAGTGGCCCCTTCCAACTCTATGATTTTTATTTTAAAAGGATGTAACTTTTCTTTCAGTATGAATGACTTGTAACAGAGTGCAATAAATATGAATATTTGTAGGTAGGAAAAGAAACTTCTGCCAGTTTGTCCCTCTCCCTCCCTCAGCCAGCCAACTAAAATCCACACATTCAAACTACAATGAAGTTATATATATCAGCTTACTCGGAAAGTATCTGTTTTGGTTCCATCGTGACCATAATCTACAATCAATGCTGCTCCTCCATTGTTTTCAACATTAGAAGCAAGCTTCTGGATGATGACACCAGCATCAGGACATACTTCTACATGATCTCTGGATTCTTGGTCCTAATACAGAATTTAAGTTGAACTGTAGGTGTTGAAGTGCTCCACAATATCATGTTGCAATATACAACTTGTACAAAGGACAGTCTATAATGCAAACTTTGATTTTTGAATAATTACTCCCTGCAAAGCACCACATTTATAATGGAATATGAGTGTTTCGACAGAACTTCAATTTCTAGAAAGCTTTAGAAGAAATTATAGCAATAAATCACATAAACACTGTCTTAGTAAAAGATACCTGGAAATCTTAAAAAGAAGTAAACTCTTATGCATATGTTGACTAAACTATAACAAATATGCGACATCAGTTTTAATGTAACTGTATCAAATATTTTGATTAAATCAAGAAAGTGACAAGCTTAATGTTTTGCTGTTGAAGCGAATGGACCATTATTGCCTTTCTAAAAACAAACAAACAAAAAAAGGAATATTGCGTATCCAGTTCTGTTTGATGTAGCTTTTCCATACAATGTTATGACGAGAGATGCATAAAATAAAAGCTTAAAAGAATTAACAACAGTTATGACTTCAGTTAAATACATTTTAAAGAATGATGGTCTTGAACCATCATACAATTGCAATATGATTTTGAAAGAAAAACCCACCAGATTATATAGCCTAGAAATACAATTAAAATCACCAGAAATTTACATGCATGAAGGCTTTTGAGGCAGGAGTGGCAGATGGTGCAAGGACAAATCGCAGCTTATCAGAAGCTTCTGGATCAATATCAACCAACAACTCGCGCCATCCATTTTCTGTTTTCTGTTAATTGAAAAGGCAAAATAGATTACTATGGATTTATTGAATAAGTATAATTATCACTTCTGATTAAACTTGTTTAAAACATGAATCTTGGACTAAAAAAAAAACTAATAATTTTGCTCTTAAGTGAAACTTCTTAAAGACTAACATTGGAAGTTTTTCAACTTGTACCATGAAGCGTATCTCCAGCTCAGTATTTAGATTAACAATAAAACTTCATATACCAATTTAAGTTTATTATATAATTAGATGTATTTTTTAAAAAAAATGTGTCTGTGTGCACAGCTAAAAGCAGCATCTCTGAAGTGGGTTGTAGACCTTGAAAACTTAAAACTATAATAAATGTGTTGGTTTTTATAATACAATTTTTTTGAGGGGGTTCTATTAGGCAAGTCTTCATTCTCAAGCTTTTGTCTGAAAACTAGTCTCAAAGAACAGTTGATCTCAGAAGTTCCAGAATTAGGTTTTATGGTAGTCTTCAGCAACACCCTGCTCCTGATATGGACATGTGAATGGTCATGCAATGTTTCCCCTCCCCTTTCCCTTCCAAATCAAGTAAAAAAATCTGTTTTCTTTGCAGCTTTAGGTAATCTCTTCTATCTCTACTGGAGTAACGAAAAGAAAAAATTCTGTATGCGAACTGCTGGAAGTAATACACGCTACAGTGTGCTGTTTAGATTACTCAGTGGGTGTTGTGAAGATCCAGCTTCCATTCACAAGCTTGCAGCCTCCTTGCCAGCTTTCCTGCCAGATAAACTCAGTCCACATTCACTCATCAGTGACCTGGAATTTTTATCTGCACAAGGGGCAGCTGCATGCTTGGGTCACTTACAAAGCCAGATTACCCAAACTGTGCCCTTTTAAAAGAAAGGCAGAATTGTGTACTGAGATCAGGTAAAAGAAAGAAAGAACACTGCACTCCTAAGCCTCTGATATAAAGTTGTAATCTATAAGAATCTGGAATATTGAAGGAAACAGGAAATGTTTACTACAACGATCTGTTTGTCTTTAAAGTATAGATAAGGTTAGTTAGAAATATTGTGTACTTTTTATTCTGGATGTGTGCTGCTATTTAAAACTTTAATATCTGTAGTATCCCTTGTTTCATTCATATACATATACACATAATTTTTATTAAAGATTTTTTAAAAGGAAGTTACAAACTAATACAAACTGGTATAAAGTAGGAAAAGAAAAAGAAAGAAATCAAAGAGAAAGCCAAAAGTGCAAGAAAGGAAAAAAAAAGTAAAATAAAAATAGAAAAGAAAGAGAAAAGATAAGTAGCTTCCAATCTTCTTTACAGCAGTTGTAACTACAATTATAAATTTACCTCTTACTCTATGGTTACAACATAACTCTCTTCCTTCTATAATCTATCCTATTTAATCATCAAAACCATAAATCACACATTCATTTTTTTCTCTTTCATGCAAAAACATATAAGGGTGTAGTATCCACTGTTTCTACACAAAGTCAGTCACTGCATGTCTACAGAACTTGGAATCTCTTAATGTCAGAGTTGCCTCTAAATAGGAACAAACTACCATCATCTTACGGTGTATTTTTCTATAGATTTTTTTCAGTTGTTATCTGAGATTTGAACAGCTTGAGGAAAATGATCTCCTTCACCAAGTCAATGACTGCATATAAGTGATGGGGTATCATTATGCCACCTGCACTGGAGAATACTCCTTCATTTGAGATACAGTAGAGGCAAAAAAGTGTACAGCTGTTACCATGCCTGACTTAAAGTAGAAGGAAGTCTGTTGCTTTTCCTTTTTTTTGGATCATTCATATTGTGCAGAACTCTGTTTTGCTCTACTAGTTGAGACAACATGGTACCTTTCTGCCCCATATCAATGCACGAAGCACACTGCCCCACGTCAGTATGACCTTCCTGATAGTGTTGTGGAGCAAAGCATCTCCTTGTACACCCCATCACCTTCTTTCCAGATGTGGCCTAGTTTCTTTTCCTCTATTTATGGAATGAGGATATCTCTTTAGCTAGCACATGATTCCAGTGTGAAGTTAGACTGCCAAGGTTCTGTTGTCCTTGGAATCAAGCTTCTCCTGGAGCTCACACCTGTGAGAGAGGGATCATTCTAAAAGACATCTCTTTCTGTATGAAGTTGATCAAATCCTGGGCTGAATACAGAAAACACAGTAAATTTGCTTTGAATGTCAAGTAAGGTACTTCTAAATTTATAAGATAAGCTAGTACTAATACTAAGAAAAGAGGGCAACATCAGCTGCTGTCACAGGAAAATGATGTAGTAATTATTTTTGTCTTTCCTTCTCATGCATTTGTGATTGTGGACAGGGCTTTTCAAATACACGTGCTGTGGTTCTGTGGAATCTGCTACGTAATTCACAAAGCGTGATAATTACACTATTCTTTTATGGTCTTGTAACTTATGTAATAAGTATACTTATAAGATTATAGTGTTACTTGGAACATGTGCCAATACTATATTTGTAAGTTTACATATTTTACATTATATTACAGACTCCAATTTCTTATATGCAATTATATAATGGAAAAGAAAAGTTCTCAGTAAAGATGTGACTTTTTTTCCTATTTGCAAATAGTGTTACATTCACCCATTCCTCATGGAATTTATTGTAATAGCTTTCTTAAGGTAAAAATTATCCCATAACTGTATTAATGCAATCAATATTTCTACCAACCGCTCCCAGCAAATATTATAAAAACACTGAACAATTTTTAATCCAAATCTAATGGTAGTATGTGATCATACCTGAAATTTATGAATAGGCAGAGCATCAAGGAATTCATGTGCTAAATAAAAATTGTTGCCTGGGGGGGGGGGAATAAAGTATCAGTCAAAAACAACAATGTCTCCATTTTTATAATAACTGCATGAGTAGCTAAAATCTGTTTTATGAATGATTCATTTGAGCTAGATCATGGGTCAAAATTTACAATTTTAGTGTACTCAATTATATTTAATTATCTGTTGCAGGAGGAACTGCTTTTGTTATATTACCTTACCAAGAAAACTGCATGGACAGATGAGAAACAATGACTTGATTCCTGGACAGAATCTACAGTATCTATCTAGGTGGTCGCTAAGAGTCAATACCAACTTGAAACCTTAATAAATCAAGGTTACTGGGTGAATTTGGTTATATACATCAGTAAAATAGGTTTGATTGAAATGCAAATATATACAAATGCAAGGGGATGCTACAGGCTTAACATTTCCTGAAATACTTTTTAAATACAAAATGAAGATCTACTGTAAAACTATGTTTACAGACATAAACAATGGACTCTTCCAAGGGCTTAACTGGATATTTTGAATGCAATGTTTTCATGTTCATTAAGGCAAAACCATAGCTACATGTGTCTTAACTCTAGATTATCTCCCTTCATTGCAAAATTTATATTAATTCTAACAAAATAGCTAATAATTATTGACTAATATATTTAAAAAAGCAATAAATGAACAAGTTCTTACCTCCTGGCACTTCGTTCAAGTTTCTGTACCAGAAAATTGGTATTCCAGTCTTACTAATTCCATGCATATAAGCACTGGAGTTCTCTGGCAACTCCGTTTCTTCTTTTGTCAGTACTGATGCCTGTATCTCACTTAATTTTGGACTGACTTCCACCAAATGAATCGAAATTTCACAGTTAGCAAGTATGGAGCTCAGCTGAGTCAAAACCTGCGAGCACAGGGAATACTGTTAGAGCTTCTCTCTCTCTCTCTCTCTCTCTCCACCCACCCTAAATTGGACTTGGAAATAAGAAGAATCCAACAATATTTATCAGTTAGTGGAATACTTCCCTTCCTTTTCAAATTCATTAGCTACCCTTTCAAATAAGGGCCTATTTCCCTGAGCCTAACAATTTCACCCTCAATCTTGGAAGATATTTATTATTTATTATTTGTAGGATTATGGTTTTACTGTATTTTAATCAATATTTATTCTTTTACTGTAAATCGCCCAGAGTCACTTCTAGGGAGATGGGCGATGACAAACGTGAAATATAAATAAATAATAAATAAATAAATAAATCACTTAAGAAAAATGACACACTAGGTACTTTAGAAGCAAAAATGTAAACCACAACAGAGCAGAAATATATACTGTTTTGCAAGCTAAGAAGCAAAAAATGGAATTTAGAATGAAACATCTAAGAATCTGTAAACACACAATTATACTATTTTATATTAAATCAGGGTGCACACTCTGAGCATCCAAAGCTACACAGATTATCTAAAGCCTTGGATACGGTCTTAAGAGCTCTGTCAAAAATTACCAGCAAATTGTAACCTTTAATATGGCAAAAGGGGAAAATGCTTAAAATCAGTGGGGAATAATTTGGAGTTGGGTGGCACCAAATCAAATCATCTAATTACCTGGTTTTAATTAATTTTTTGTCCTTTTCTTCCTTATTTCTTTCTTCAAGCTTTGCATATTCTTGGAAATGTAGCACAACATGCTAAATACCACATTAGCTTCAGTGCCCCCCACTCCACCCCAGCCATATACCACTGAGATAAACCTCTCAGGTAGCATACAACAGTCAGTGGCATTTCTACAATCTGATTCTTATTTTGCATTAAAAAATAAATTAAAAACAAGTCATTAATGTATAGCTAGGTACAGGATTGACACTTAAACAGTTGAACAAATGCACAAAATAAATGCATACAAGTTTGTGGGTGCATGAAAGTATGTTTATATTTTTGTGCAAGCTTAAAAAATTCCAAACTGATGTAGAACTGGAAGGACTGAACTTCTATTTGAAAAATTATGTCACAAAAAGTCAAATGAGCAGACTTGTTCATCATTACCCTATACAGTACATAAAAAGGCTGTTTTTACTTACCCTTAAAATATCATTTATAAGACTACCTCTACCTGGGCCCAGTTCCACCAGCTGAAATTTTGGAGATTTTCCTGTAGCCATCCATTCACTAACAAACCAAATACCTATTAACTGAAGAAAAGAAAAATTAAGTTTTTTTAAAAAATACTAAAACTGAATTTATTTATAAATTGTGTGTTGTATATGTGTATTTATGTATGTATGTATAATATATATATTTTAAAAAACACAGGGGAAGTAACCACCCCCCCCCATATTTCTACATAATAAAGTTATTTAAATAACATTGAGATTAATGGGAGTTAAGCAGCTTATGACTGTAATTTTGCAGCCCCTTGAACCACCTAAGGAAACAGGCTAGATCACCAATTCTAATACTGGAAATAATGTTCAATTGGTGAAGGAAATTTGTTTCTAGCTCCCTGATTATCTGTGTTGCCCATCTGTGTCCCTGTTCCAAGTTCTAGAATATCTCTTTAGTGTGGCTGAACCCTAGAACTGACACAGTGGAGTATGACCAAAGCAGAATATGGTGGAACTGTTATTTCTTGTGATTTGGAAACTACTTCTATCAGCATAGCTTAAAACTGCATTTGCCTTTACTTTGCTTTAGAAGAAATTTCACTGAACTTAGTGACACTGAGAACATATCTTGGGAATATGCAGATTATACTTTTCACATACTGTCTAACAATCATATTAAACTTTCTTGAGTAGAACTTGAACAGCACACTTTTATCACCAAAGTGAAATTTAGATCTCAGCAAAAGTATCAGATGAAGTAGTTACTTTATATTAGTGCATTAAGCTTTTTTTGTTCATATACACTCAGAGTGGTCCACAACAGAACAGCAATATGACAGGAATACAGAAAATTACATTACCAAGTCATGTCAAAATATTTAAATAGAAAATCAAACAATAGATTTTCTCAATCACACTAAAAATACAACAAATTCCAAATTATGAGATATCAGTTACAGAACACAATGTTCTCAAAAACTGGTAAACTACTGAAGCCCAGAATCAAATATGATAAAAAAATTCTAGTATATTCAGACATTACTAAATATAATTTATAATCTATAATTGGCAGCCAGTTCTTCAAAGTGCTAACTGCAGGAACTAGCCAGAATTCTTATAAATGACAAGGTAAGAAGCACTAGGTATAAGTGTTAACAGATATAGCACCAAGAAAAAGCAGTTTTGTTTGTTAAATTGGACAAATCTTCTGAAATTGATTTTGTTCCTTTACTGCTTCCTATTAAGCTTCATTTTATCATTGTATCATTTTATCTTAAATGCTTATAACTTATATAATCATGCACATGAAAAAATAACTATTTTTAAAGCTACCTCTCCAAAAATTTGACTTATTTCAGGTGAAGTAACAAAATCTCCCTTTTCTCCAAACATATCTTGATGCATATAGTATCCCTGTGGAAAAAGAATAAATTAAACATTATTTAATATTTGCAACTCTTTCACTCAAGTTCTTAATCCTTGATTATATTCCTCTGCTAGTCTGCTTTAATTCAGAAATTTTGTAACAACTCTCTAAGGAGATAAAGAAAACATGAAGGGCTCCTCACTTTACAATATAATTTATCAAGCAAAAATAGGAAGATGAAATGATATAATAGCAGATTTTCTGCAATGTAAAAATGAGATTGAGAAATGAAAAAAAAAAGCTGGAAAACATTCATAGTGTAAAATGAGAAAGGGCTATTTATTTTGGTAGAAGAGAAGGGACAAGCAGGGATCCTTTGGGAGTCAGGATACTGTGGACATGATATCCAGAAAGACAGTAGGATCTTACTACTATAGTAACTGTATATAAGAGACTGAAGTTATATTATTGTTAGATTAATATGTATATTCCAATGGATATACTCTTTCTCTCTCACCATCATCATGGTAAAAACCATCCATCCCATTTTATTTGGGCAAAGCAATTTTATTTCACCTTTTCTTGAACTTAGGGTGAGAGAAAGCAACCTGGCATCTGTGATAGTTAAACTAACAGGCAAGTGCAATGTGAAAAGGAAACAACTATCTGGAAATGGAAGAATGAGGTGTGCAGCTGAGGACATGTTAAGGTCATGCAATGATGCACAGAACTGGGAAGCAATTTATCAGGATCAGATTAGATGAGGCACGGAAGACACCAACCAGAGGTAAGGGTGTTAACAGTTAATGCCATGTAGTAAGTCACATTTGACTCAACAACCTAAGAGATCAATGAAAGGCTGAGGTGATGTGGAAAGCTCTGCTGGCAAAGGATAAAAAGAATAAGCTATACAAGTTTCTGTTGGAAGATCCCATAATCTGGACCCTCACATGTGCTATGTAGCTCTCCTCCCTGAATCCAGGTTGAACTCAGCCAGATCTACCGTAGGCAGGAGGTATGTAAGTGGGTATGAGTAAGAGAATATATGGCTGGATTACAAACTTTGAAATCAATAAAGCTTTATTGTTGCTGAATCTCAGTTTGTGTTGCTCACTGCATAACGTTAGGCTATCTCTCTGGAGATGGGCAGCTGCTCTGCTAACACTGGTAAAGCACAAGTTTTTAACTTGACTGTAGGGGAAAGGAAGGATTGTCTCATAGGAGCTAGTAGGAATTAATATTATCCAACATTTGCTAATCAAAGTAGAGAATTTCTGCTTACCACAACATCAGTAACACTTTGACAATGGAAATCATATTTGTGTCTATAAATGCATTTGCTGTAGCATGGTATGCTTAAGGATGAGGTAGCAGAATAGCGTCATCTTTCAAATAAGCCTGATCAACAAGGATAAACAGCCAAACGAGATGTTGCAAAGCAGGCACACACAACGAAAAGCACATAAAGAGATTTGTACATTGAGTGTAACAAGAAAAGTTGGGAGTGAAAGCAACATTTTTTCCATAGCTGAAATTCTGCTTCCAACTTCTGCCCCAGTACAAGCTGCTTTGCAACCTGAACAGAAAACATCTTTCCCTGTGGCAGAAAGACAACTTTGAAAAGAGCAACAATTAATGGAATAGGAAGAAACTTTGGGTGCTTCTCTTGTTACACATGCTGCTCCTAGACTCGGCTTATGGTCACTCACTCACACACTCAGCCTGTTGAGGCACGCAGATCATCAGCCCCCCTTGCTCTCTACCTGGGTTTTCCAGATAGGTGCGGCTGGAGCAGACAGACACACAGCCATGGCCAACAGCTGGGAAATAATTAGGGATACACACAAATCACTTCCAA